GACATGGCCCTGGAGCTGAATGCCTCCAAGCACCGCATCTACGAGTACGTGGAGTCCCGGATGTCCTTCATTGCACCCAACTTGTCCATCATCATTGGAGCATCTACGGCTGCCAAGATCATGGGTGAGGTCCCAGCCGGGTCCCTTCACTGGAGTCTGCTGATAGGTTAGGTTGCTTTGGGGAAGTGGGGTTTGGCCTTAGGAGCTCTATTGCGTTGTCCCCTGAAGACGAAGGTCAGTCAGCTTGGTGCATACACACATTAGAAGCATAGCAACCCCCTTCTAGGTTGAGCTGGCTGGCTCAATCACGTTGCACAAATGGCAGGCTAGACTCTTCCTGCCAATAGGCTCATTTTAGACCCTGGAGCAGCACAGAATACTGAAGTCAGCTCAGGCTTTCCTACTAGATGGGGCAGCAAATCCTGCCATGTGCTATGCTCTTCCTCCTGGACGCTCCTGTAGCAGAGTCGCTTCCTTCCTTGCAGAGAGATGCTTGCAAAGGGAATATGGGAAAAGCCACTGTCTTTGCTCACTTAGCTTCAGTCTTGAGTCCTACAGGCCAGGATGCTTATACTCCTGAGGCTGCTGTTTCAGAGCTGGCAAGTCTGAGACCAAGGTGCTGTGAGACCTTTCCAGAGGCCTCTGTTTGGCTCAGACATGTCTGCTGTGTCTTCATGTAGCCACACCACTTGTATCTGTATCCTTATCTGCTTTTCTTACAAGAACATCAGTCAGATAAAATCAGGATCCATATGACCTCATTTTACCCTAGTTATCTCCTTAAAGATTCTATGTCCTGGGCTAGAAAGATGGCTTAGTTGGAAGAAGAACTTGCTACCCAGGCTTGACAACCTGAGTGTGGAAATTCCCCCAAACCCACATATAAGGGGGGAGAGCTAAGTCCCATAAGTGTCTTCTGATCTCCGTGTACACACTCTACTTGTACACATAAAATAATAAAAAATAACCTCCTTCCCCCAGTAAAAAAAAGATCCTGTGTCCTGCTGGATGCAGTGGCTCATACTAGTAACTCTAGTATTTGAAAGGCTGAGGCAGGAGGATTGCTTTGAGTTTGAGGGCAGCCTCAGCTACAGAGTGAAATACTCTATCAAACCAGCCAACAAATGAAGGTGCAAAGTTGTCTTAGTCACTGCTCTAGTGCTGTCAAGAGACAACTATGGGCTTATTTACATTTCTAGAGACTTAAGCCATTATTATCATGGCAGGGAACACAGCAGCAGGCAGGCATAGTGCTGGAGATGTGGCTAAGAGCTATATCCTCATCCACAAACAGAGAGACAGAGACAGAGACAGGGACAGACGGAGAGACAGACATTGGACCTGGCATGGGCTTTTGAAATCTCAAAGCCCATGTCCAGTGACATACTTCTTCCAACAAGGCCATGCTTTGCTCTTTCTAATCTATTCAATGAGTTTCATTTCGTGGTGACTGTATGAGCTTATGGGAAACATTCTTGCTCAAACCACGAAGGTGTACATGAGCTTCTGGATGTGAGCCCTGTGTTCTGACCTCACCTCTTGTTGCAGGTGTGGCTGGAGGGCTGACCAACCTGTCTAAGATGCCTGCCTGCAACATCATGCTATTGGGAGCCCAGCGCAAGACACTGTCTGGCTTCTCTTCTACCTCCGTGCTGCCTCATACTGGCTACATCTACCACAGTGACATTGTGCAGTCTCTGCCCCCAGTGAGCCTTTTACCTTGTTCTCTGCCCCCAGCCACCAGGCCTTATCTGGCTTGGCTGGCAATAGCCCTCAGGCTCCTGGAGGATGAGGCAACATGGGTTAGAAGAGTGAGGGTATCATTCTGGGGCCACCACTTGACAATTCAATGGTTGGGTGGCTAGAAACCAGGGGCAGCCAGGGCATACTCCTTAAGAGGAGGAGTCTGGGGTATGGCTGGCCCTAGATGAGAAGTGATTATTGTAGTGGCCATTGTTACCTTCGCCTCTAGAGGTTCAGTTTCCTTTCCCCTTCCCATTGCTCCAGGATCTCCGGCGGAAGGCAGCCCGCCTAGTGGCTGCCAAGTGTACACTGGCAGCTCGTGTGGACAGCTTCCATGAGAGCACAGAAGGGAAGGTGAGGAGAGGACAGGCATCTGTCCCTGGTGCTTGGGGTCTTTTCATGGGAAGATACTACTTCAGAGAGCTCTCCAGACTAGCAGATGGATGTGTGTGTCTGCAACCCCCACTGAGGTCATCACATTCTCAGCTCTGTATCAGTTATAGAACAGCTATGACAACTCACTATAGATGGAGTGGCTTCATATAAAAGTCTGCTAGGCCTGCTAGCTCATATCTTTAACATCAGGTAGGCAGAGGTGGGAAGATAACTAGTTTGAGGCAGTCTGGATTATATAATAAGTTTCAGGCCAGACTGGACTGCATAGTGAGATTCTGTCTTTGAAAAAGAAAAAAGCACAGGGCTGGCTGGAGATGTGGCTCTATCACTTAAGTTCCTGCATACAAACATGAAGACGTGAGTTCAATTCCTAACACTCATGTTCAAACAAACAAACAAAACAAACCAGGCACAATAGTACATGCCAGTAACTGTAACTCCAGTGCTGGGAGGGTGGAGGTGGAAGGGCAATTGGAGCTTGTGGGCCTGTCAACTAAATCAGTAAACTCCAGATTCAGTGAGAACTAAGGTGAGGGGCCGGAGAGATGGCTTAGCAGTTAAGAGCACTGACTGATCTTCCAAAGCACCCGGGTTCAATTCCCAGCACCCATGTGGCAGCTCACAACTGTCTGTAACTTCATGGACCCAATACCTTCACACAAACATGCAGGCAGACAAAAACATGCACATATAACAAAAATAAATTAAAACAAGAAAAAGAAAGAAAGAAAAAAGGTGAGGAGATAGTATAGAAGCCATGATACCAAATCTCTGGCCTTTTGTGCACACAAGTGCATGTGAGCACATAGTTTCACTGGATTAACATCAGTGAGTTAGATGGGCAGTTCCCATTTGTAGGCTTCTGGGAAGAAATGTTCCTGCCCCTGTCAATACCAGAGGCCACCAGGCAAGGCAGAATCTCCGGCCTCTGACTCTACTGGTTTGGAGCCTCTTGTGATTACATAGATGTCAGAGGTCTGCCTCCATGTTTTTTGTCTGTGTGTGTGGTGGGTATGACTGGGATTGAACCTAGGACTCTATACATACTAGACAACTGATCTACCACTGAACTACATCCTCAGCTTACCCCACCCCTTTTTGAGACAGGTCTTATTTCTAGCCTAGGAAAGCCTTGAAGGATTTTTGATCCTCCTGTCCCAGCTTCCCTGGTAGCTAGGATTGGAGGTTGGTGTGTCACACACCATTTATATTCTAGCTGGGACAAAACTAACTAGGCAGTAGTCCTGAAAAGTCTACAGTGCGTCCAGTAGTGGTGTGTGAATACTAGGGTCAATAAAGGGAATGTGGGGTGAGGAAGCTTAGATTCTGACTGACATAGGACGTGTAGAGCTTTGAGGACATTTTAGTATGGGCCTGAGGGAGGTTACAGTCAGTCGTGTGGATACATGTGCTATATCCACCTGGAAGAGTGTTCCAGACACAGAGAATAGTGAGTACAAAGAACTTGATGCCAGAGTTAGGTGAACCCAGCAGGGAGGGGAGCCTGCTGTACCTAGGAGCAGATAATGTACAACCTCTGAGGGGCTCTTGCTGCTGTGGAGGCACTGAAAAGCAAGCAAGCTGGGATCTGTTCTAAGAGGCCAGGGTGTCCTGTGGTGTGGGAGTAAGACAGTGACGATGACATGCTGTCTGCTGACTAGACAATACAGGGGTTCTGCCTGGCCCATTTATGTTTAAAGGACTCAAGATAGGCAGTTATCCAGAGGGTGCAGAGCTTAGATGTGAAAGCTGAGCCTGAGGTACAAGTTCAAGGGGCACTAGGCACTGGAACTCACAGGACACCATCCCTGGACAGAGGGGAAGAACATGTCTTGGGGAGGGCACACTGTGAGGTGGTCAGATAGGTTGACAATACATAGATGTGTGGCTGAGAGGACAGTCTACATGGCTGGCCACAGCTTCTCCACTCCCTGTTAGGTGGGCTATGAACTAAAGGATGAGATTGAGCGCAAGTTTGACAAGTGGCAGGAGCCACCACCCGTGAAGCAAGTGAAGCCCCTGCCTGCGCCCCTTGATGGGCAGCGGAAGAAGCGAGGGGGCCGAAGGTAAGTTGTGATGGGGCTAGATGTCTGGAAGTGGGGAAGGGAAGCTGCTTCCCAGGCAGCTCCCTATATCCTGTTGACACCCACTTGCCCTAGGTACCGCAAGATGAAGGAACGGCTAGGACTGACGGAGATCCGGAAGCAGGCGAACCGCATGAGCTTTGGAGAGGTCAGGCTCGATCCACAGTACCACTAGGACCTTGTAGGGTCTTCTCTCCACACATCCTGTTGCCATCCCTCCTCCCCACCCTGTAATCCACTGGCTACCAGAGCCTCCTCCCTCCTGACTAGCCTCTCTTCTCAAACTACCTTCTCCATGGTGATGTTTGCAGCTGGGAGCTGGCTGCCTTCCCATGCAGTTCCCCAGGCTGCACCTATATCTGACTGTCATCTAGGTGATCCTGAAAGAACCCACTTAGGTGCCACCTCAGTAGTGCAGCTCACCCCAATTCTTGGCAACCTAATCTCAATGTGGAGGAAAAAATGACTACTCAGGTCAGGAACCAGTTCTTCCCAGGGTTCCTAGCTATACCCAAGCAGAGTTGGAGTAGGCTCTTACAACGTCACTTAGTGTAGCCAGTCCCCTGGCTGATCAGGTAGTGTCCATGAGACTGGCTGATTGGAGAATCTGTGGGTTCTCAGTGGACTGCCCCAGGGAACTGGCTGAATGTACCCAGCTTTTAACAGCAGGTTACTCCCATCTCACCAGATTGAGGAGGATGCATATCAAGAAGACCTAGGCTTTAGCCTGGGCCATTTGGGCAAGTCAGGCAGTGGGCGCGTGCGGCAGACACAGGTGAATGAGGCCACCAAGGCCAGGATCTCCAAGACATTGCAGGTATGGACTGGGCCCATGAAAATGGGAGGCAAGTGGGCCGTGGAGGTCAGTAAGCTTGGACCACAGCCTCCCCTTTCCCTACAGCGGACCTTACAGAAACAGAGCGTGGTGTATGGTGGGAAGTCAACAATTCGTGACCGCTCCTCAGGGACTGCCTCCAGTGTGGCCTTCACTCCCCTCCAGGTACCATACCCTTTTCTACCAGGCATGAGATAAGGCTGCTGTGGAGCTTTGCTGAGCTCACACATGAGCTGAAGCATCCGCAGTCGCACAGTGAGTGCCTAACAGTGACAGTTGTGACAAGCTCAGACCAACTTTGGAACCAGGCCTAGGACTCTGCCCATGTAATCCAGATACTCTCTGAGCTTCCCAGTCTTTGCGTTATGATAGCCCCACCGTCAGTGACGTCAGGGCAGGCTTGAGTCTCACAGCAGCCCAGTAGCACTGAGCAGTGTGAAGCAGAACTGGCTCAGGTTACTTACCACAGAGATAGACAAGTGTGTCCCATAGTGTCACAAGGAACTAAAGAGCTCCCTAGCTTGCTAGAAGTGCCTGCTGAGCACCTGCCTACCATGTTCCAGGCTTCAGGCATAGAAACAAGAGAGACAGGCTTTGCATTTGGGTGGAGATGGGTGTTGTAGGTTGGAGAGGACAGATGATTGAGACTGGTACTCAGTGTATTAGAAGGCATGGGCGCCAGGAAGAAGCAGGAGGAAAAGGTGATGGGGCCAGTGAACGCCCAGCCAAAAGGATTGGAAACATTCAATGTCGTGCCTGCCGGCATTGTCATCACTGTGATGGGGTGGGATTTGCTTGAAACTGGCTGGCCACATCCCTCTGGGATTCAATTTCCTTATCCAGAACCAGGTAGGAGTGGTGATTTTAACATCACCTGAGGAGATTAACAGTCCTGAGATCCAAGACCTGCCCCCATACTTACTGGGTCAAAAATCTCCCAAACTGAGGGAGACTTTAGGGACTGTAAAGGTTCCATGTCCACAAGAGTGTCTGGGAGACTGACATGTCCGGTTCTCACACTAGAGGGAGGCCTGAGTTTCCTCATTTCACCTGTCACCCTCTTCCTTTCCAACCCAGGGTCTGGAGATTGTGAACCCACAAGCAGCCGAGAAGAAGGTGGCAGAAGCTAACCAGAAGTATTTTTCTAGCATGGCTGAGTTCCTCAAGGTCAAGGGTGAGAAAAGTGGCACCATGTCTACCTGAAGGGGCCCACACTCCAGGTGGCCACCCACTGAAAGGACATAAAGGACTGGAGTGACAGATTTCCAGCCAGGAAGTTGTGGTGTAGTGAGGCAGCCTTCCATGCTCTGTCCTTGGCCCAAGGCCACAGCATCCAAGGAAAAGGATGAAGCACCTTAGCCTGCCTCTCCCAGCACCCGTGCTGCTGCCACCCCAAATGGACAGAGAGGTCTTCCTCACACTCAGCCTTTTTACACAGGGGGAAGGAAGTCCTTTTTTAGAATGAGTACAATTAAATGTGTAGTGTCAGGCTCTGAACAGAGAGTGTGATTGTTTATGAAAGAACCAGAGGACTCAGAGTGCTGGGGCTTCCAGTGTGAGTAGTATGGACCTAGCTCTCTTCTGCTCTTGTTCTGGAATCTAAGAAAAACCATGTCTGTCTTTAACACCACTACCTGCCTCATGAGAACATCAGCATCAGGGACACCACAAACTCCAGGACCCAATAAGACCCACAGGATTATTGTTCCTCAGGCTAGAAACCTCCTTGGTCCAAGATACACCCACACAAAATGAAGCACCTAGAAGGCTTGGGAAGTGTGACAGAAAACACCCACTCAGTTCTTCATTCATGGTGGAGCCTATTGTTTTAATTCATGTTTACTGAGGGGGCCACATCTCGGTCCTCAGCAGTGGTGAGACAAGTGGGTACCCTATGGGAGGTACCAATGCCAGGTAAGCAAAAGAAGTGCACACTACCCAGTCTGACTTGCAAACCAGGGCTTCATCAAAGGAAAAAGTAGAAAGTATGAACTGTGTTTGGTGTGTTAGGAATCTAGTTCTATAGGTGAGGGAAAATGGCTTCTGGGCTCCATTGTCTCTGCTTGAGCTTAGCTATGTTGGTCTGATCAGAGATGTAGCTGGTGAGGTCAGGGCTTTCTATCTTGGGCTTCCTGGTCTCTGTTCCTCTCTAGGCTTTCACTTGTCTACACACTATCTTAATCCTAGTCCCCTGTGGGTCTGGTCTGTTGGGGGAAAGCCCCTTGTCTATAACTTCCTTTAGAACCCCTACTCTGTCCCTGGCCTGGCTTGATTCTCACTTTGTCAGTGTTGACTGGAATGAAATATGAAAATGTCTCAGAATTCAACATGCTGCAGAATGTCTTGAGGGCTCACTAAAATATGGTTGCTAGTTGCAAAGTTTGATTCACTTTTGCTAAAATAGAGCTTAAAAATGTGTATTTCAGCCTGTAAACCAGCTATTCAGGAGACTTAAGACAGGAGGGTTGGGAGTACTTAGGCTACATAGTTAAGTTCAAGGCCAGACTAGGCTGTAGGAAAAGCTGGTGTCCAAGAGAGAGAGAGGGGGGGGGGGGAAGGGGGGAGGGGAGGGAGAGCGAGAGAGAGCACGAGAGAGCGAGCAAGCTAGCCGGGGAGAAATCTGGATCTGCCAAGATAGCACTATTGGTAAAGTGCATTTCATAAAAATATGGGAACCTTGGGAGGCAGAAGCAGGCGGATTTCTGAGTCTAAGGATAGCCTGGTCTACAGAGCAAGTTCCAGGACATCGTGGGCTACACAGAGAAACCCTGTCTTGAAAAACCCCCAAAACAAAACAAAAACAAAACACCAGCATAAAAACATGAGTTCGATACTTGGCACCCATATAAAAGGCAAGGAGTTGTAGCATGTGTTTGCCATCCCAGGGCTGAGAAGGTGGACTGGGGTATGTGTGGTCCTGGTGAGTGGCCTATCTAAAACAAAGCAAAACAACCTTAAAAACAGCAACAACAAAAATGAGCTGCTGAAGTTGACTTGGCCTTCACAGGCACATGCATGTGTATGCACACAATACATGTGTATACACACACGCACACAAAACTTTAGGGGAGGAGTTGGCTGGAGAGATGGCCCAGTGATTAAGAAGATTGGCTGCTCTTCCAGAGGACCTGGGTTTGATCCCCAGCACCCATATGTCTGCCTACAATGGTCTATAACTCTAGTCCCAGAGAATATGACATCCTTTTCCAGTCTCCTTGGGAACCAGGTGTATATGTGTTGTAGACATACATAAGCTAAACACCTATACATACACAGTAAAAGTTTTTAAAGGGCCAGGAATATAATTCAAAGCAGGGTGCTTGCCTAGCAGTGTCTAGGCCCAGTTTCAAACGATTTAAAAAGGCTGCCAGGTGTAGGGGTACTTTTAGTCCCAGTATTCCCAGGCAGAGACCAGAATTCTGTGAGTTGGAGGTCAACCTAGTCTACAGAATGAGTTCCAGGTCCTTAAAAGGATGAAGAAACAGCCACATGGTGGTAAGCACATACCTGTAATCCAGTACTTGAGAAATGGAAGCAGGAAGATTAGAAGTTCAAGGTCATTCTCTGTTACAAAGCCTGTCCAGCCTGTCCTATATAAAATCCTGTCAAAAAAGAGATGCAAGAATCGACTGGCAATAGCTCAATAGTAGTCTTTCTCCCTAGCATGTTAAGCCCTGGTTTCAAATCCCCCTCCTGGAAAGAAAAAAGAATTTCCACGGGATCATTTCAGGGAAAGAATAACTGGTTCTCAACTCTAGATGTTGATGCAATTGTTCTAGCATAAGTCTAAGTATCTGGATTCTACCTCTACCAACTCCCCAGGTCATTCTAAAGTGGAGCTAAGCCCGAGAATCATCATTGTGTTCTTACGGCCATTAGTATATCCTAGGAGCTTGTCAGAAAATGCAGAATTGCCCGGCAATAGTGGCAGTAGTTCCAGCACCTTAGCCCCAGCACTTGCGAGGCAGAGGCAGGCGGATTTCTGAGTTCGAGGCCAGCCTGGTCTACAGAGTGAGTTCCAGAACAGCCAGGGCTACACAGAGAAACCCTGTCTTCAAAAACAAAAACAAAAAAAGAAAAGAAAAGAAAATGCAGAATTGGTGACCACCTAGATAAAAAGCTGCATCTTAATTTGGCAGGGGATTCCTGATAAAGTTAGAAGCAGTTCCACATTCTCGGGGGCCGCATGAAAGGGCAAAACTATGCATGAATAGCAAACTCGAAAGAGTGTAGAAGGTGTTTAAAAAATCTGGACAAACAGGTCCCTTAGGTTTCCCTTAAGTCGATGTGACCCTAAGAATATGCATTTAAAAATTATGTAAATATGTGAGCTTAAGTGCACCGGCAGATGCCAGATGAAAGAGTCAAATCGTGTGGCTACCAGTCCTCTGCAGAAAATGTTCTTAACTGCTGAGCCATCTTTCCAGCTGAAGAAATATGTGATTTTTATAAGCCATTTTCCCCCCCTCTTGCTTCATGCCATTCTGATGCGGTGAAATGCACATGCACGTTCTCTTCAAGTGTTGATTTAGCTTCTTTTCCTCCGCCTAGCAGGAAGAGGTAGATCGACTTTCCCGATTCGTGAAAACGTGGTGCTCACGTTTTCAACGAAATCATTGCTCAGACTATTCATTCACTAATTCAGCAAAAGGCTATGGAGTGCTTTATGGGTGCTCAACACCGAGAAATCCAGAGAGGGAGACGCAAGTAAGTGTAAAAATGGCAGGAATCGAACAAAATTAAACCAAAGAGGCTCACCTAAGCACTCGGAAGAGTAGTCAGGGAAGTTTACTCCTTAAGAAGCATAACAGAACTCTAGTGAGTATCCATTACAGATGTAACAGAGGTAGGGCAAAGTGCAGTTTCCTCTGTAGTGCAAACAGGAGAGCGTCCCAGTCTGCTCAAACTTGAAAAACCCTAAAGAAACCCAGAGATACGACAGTTCCACGCTGTTTTGTGTTTCTCTGTCGCTTCTGCAATGTTCCTGATTCCTTCTTTCCTTCTTCCATCCTTTAGAAAGCATCGAGTTTTAGAGATATACCAAGCAGAGACGCTTGGGGAAGGACTATGAGGATCAGAAAACAGCCTAGACAGGCAAAGGAAGGATGCTCCGAGAACCACACCTGTCGGCAGGTTTCCCCGTTAATAGCTACCCTATTGGCCAACCAAGGGAAGGGGCGGGGCGTTGTCTAGCTCCTCCCCTAGGCCTGGCGGCTCTTTTGATTGGTAGAAGACTTGGGTTTACTATCCTCAACCCCCAGGCACCTCTCTTTCTCCCACTAGATAAGCTACCTTTAACTCTCAAGCTCCATGCCTTCTGTCGTTTTCCCCTACCCACCTTCATGACCAACCAATGAGTTCAGGGTAGACTATTCCTCACAACCAATTACAGCTGCCTTTAAACTTGACGAGCAACTTCCCGCCCCTCACCCTGACTCCACCCCGCGGCCAATTGATTTAGGGGAAGGGGGCGGACACATCCAATCAGCACGACATAGGCCTCCTGATTGACACCCAGACCCTCGCGCTGGCGTGTTGTGCTCTGAGGTGGGGAGGAGGAGGAGGAGGAGCCGGGAAGAAAAACCCGAGCCAATCCAAGCAAGCTGAGCGTGAGGCCAATCGAACGCCGCGCCCTGCAAGGAGCAACCAATCCTAACGAGGGGACTGGCCTCATTCTCGCTAGGAACCAATGGGGCGAGCCTAACGGCGCAGAGCGACGTGCTGCGGGAGCAATGACGGACCTATATTCGGGGCTCGGGGGCGGGCCGGCGCCAGAGACGAGAAGAGAGGAGGGGAGGCCTCCTCCGCCGCCGCCATCTTGGACCGGGCCCGTTCAGCTTCCGTGGAGCCGTCGGCAGCCGCTGCCGGGCCTTTCCTTGATCCCTGAATCCCCTACTCGGTCGTCTAGAACAATCCCGGGCCCACTTCCTCTATCAACAACACAACCCCACTTCCGGCTTTCGCGCCCTCTTATCGCGATAGCGCCCGGGCTCGGGGCGCGAGGAAAGAGGAAAAAAAAAAAAAGGCGGCGGGCGGGCGCTCGCTTCTCTCTCCCCCCTCCTCGCCTGTCGCGATACGCTCCGCAGCGGCGGCGCCAGCTCCTGCGGTGAGCGTCAGGTTCGACTGGGCCGGACCCCTTCCCCTCTTCCCTCAGCTCCATCGGCCGACTTCTTGCTCCGCGACCCTGCCGCCTGTCGCGACACGGCCTCAGCTCCCGCCGGGCCCTGGCCGCGCGCTCGGGCCCGGCTCGGGCGGGCGGGGACCCTCTCTCTGTCCTCCCGCGTCCGGACTCCCGCGTGGCAGAGCGCCGGCCCCGGGTGCGAGGTGCCTGCCCTCCTCCGCGTCTGGCTGGGCTTGGAGCGGTGGGCGCGCAGCGGGCCGCGGAGGGGTCTTTCTGCTGTGAGCGCGGGGGCCACTCCTGCAGTCATGCCTACCCCGGGAGCTCCCTTTGGGAGCGTTGCCTCAGTGCACCCGAAGGCTCCAGCTTGTTGGTGTCT